AACAAGACACCTGAGAATTCGAGCAGCCGGTGTCAGGTCTCTGGTGGACCGTGGTTATATGGTGATAGCGCACCTTCGCGGTGAGTATATGATCGCTGACCTGTTGACTAAGTTAATGAGTGGACAGGTGTACGCAAAGCAAAAGGCACTTTGGGGTCTCAGACTGTTGGTTCAAGGAACTGACTTGAAAAAAGCCTCGCTTGCAATGGCGGTCATGATGGTGGCTGCATCTCTGCAAGGGATGGCAACTGGTGGCGAAGAAGTGTCCACGGCTGGATTCTTTTGCTCAGAAGAAGGGGTGTGCAAGGTCGCCAACACGTCTACGGTGATGGTTCTGGCTCAAGGTATTGAAATGGTTGTCAACAATTCAGACCTTGTTGCGTATTTGGTGGCAGCAATTATACTCTGGGAACTGGCATGGTGCCTCTTTCGACGGCTGTATAAATGGCTGTGGATCAAGAAAGCGGTGGTTATTCCTGCGAGTGCCACTTTGTATACAACAGTGGGTGGGAACTGTATGCACGCAAGCAGTGACTGTGATGTTCTGCGATATTCACAGCCCAGGGCTAAGACGCTTTGTAAGCATTGCCTCAAGGATGGCTGGGTGGTGAATGCTGAGTTCCTTGGTGAGGAACGGGCCGCTGGAACGTGCATTTTTCAAGTACGAGGTGAAGAAATCCTCAATGGTAAAGGATTCAGCCAATGAGCTGAAGGTTCGTCCTGGATGACGTTAAACCATAATGTGCATTTCAAGCAGCTGGCTGCTGCCTAAATGGCGGTTTTTGGCCAAAGAACGGCATCTCCAATGTGTCCTAGGAAATCCTAGGACAGGGGGAGTGCGGAGCTGCAACTGGTATTGTAGAAAAGAGTTGGTGATGGGAGTTGAAGGGGTCAATGAACCCGGATATTTTTGGCTCAAGGCTCAAGAAACGTGGGCAATGCGCCCTACGGAAAAGGTGTGTTTGGTTGTGCTTTGGGTTTTGTCTTCGGTTGTTCCAGGGGAATCAAGGGCTTCTGTTGGGGCTGACTGTTTTGTTCCCTGTCCTCCTTCGGTTGCCCCCCGTACCCTAAACCCTGAACCCTGAACCCTGAACCCTGAACCCGGAACCCTGAACCCTGTTCCCGGAGGGTTTAGGATTCAGGGGTTAGGGTTTAGGAACCAGGGCTGTTGCGGAAAGGAGGGTGTCAAAAAACTTGCGGTCACTGTTGGGTGTGTCTTCCCCTTATTGCGTCCTTGTCACTCACGGCTTTTCTACCAGACAGCTGAGCCCCTATCACTGCAACAAACGACGGTTCAACCCAACATGGAAGGTTGCTCTCTTTTTATGTTCATAGGGCCGGGAAAAGATCTGAAAAAAAGTACGGAGCACTAAGCCGTAAACCCTAAACCCCAAACCCTAAACCCTGACTAGGGGTAAACTTCCCAAGCCCAACACCTAGACCCTAAAAGCCCCAAAGTATCACTGGCACTGACGATGCCTTGAGCATACGGCGCAGGTGCGTCGGCACTAAAGCAGTGAAAGCCTCCAAGTAGGGTTCAGGGTTTCGGGGTTAAGGGGTTAGGGTTTGGGATGTAGGGCTTAGGGTTAAACCCTAAACCCTAAACCCTAAACCCTAAACCCTAAATCGTTTTAGGGTTTAAAAGGGAGGTCGGGCCAAGATGCGCATTGCGCATGTAGGGCTGTGTCCAAATGCCAGAACAACCTTGGGTTTAGGGTTTAGGGTTTAGGGTTTGGGGTTTAGGGTTTAGGGCTTAGGGTTCAGGGTTTAGGGTGTAGGGTGTAGGTTGTAGGGTCTCATCCCCCATCCTAAGCCCTAAGCCCTAAACCCTAAATCCTAAACCCTAAGCTCTTAAGGGCTGAGAGCGCACATGGGTTCGCCTTCCTGCTTTTTGAAGGGGGCTTCCCGTGTCTGGTGTCCGGGGGGCTTAGGGCTTTGTAGGGCTGCAGGGTTTTGGGGCTCTGGTCATGAACTCCTGATACACACCCCAAACCCACGATTCTGGTTCCCTCGATGGGTCTGTGTGAGCATATGGCCCCTGTTTCTCGAGGGGGTCCAGAACTTAAAGAACGGATCATACTAGGAATGACGGGATGATACCCTGAACTTGAGTCAACCTACAGTATTATTTGCATTGTCATTCTTGTGATCAGTATGACTAGTATCTTTATTGTTCTTGCCATTCTTGTTATTGATATTACTATCATGCTGATCATTGCTATTTTTGTTTTTGTTGTTAACCATATTGAATTGTTGTTCCTATGATGATTACTATACTAGTATTAGTATGTTTATTGCTTCTGTTTTATTACCATTACTACGACTATCGTGTTTATCATTACTATTGTGCAAAGCCAGGGCTTAAGCCGGGTTCGAAAGGGATTTCGGGGCTTACGCCGGCCGAGGAGCAGCAGGATCAGCTGCACCGTTGCAGGTACAGGCACTTCCGAGTCATCAGCAAGCCTTTGACTTCTCTGGGATTAAGTGTTTGTAGAGTTTAGGGTTTAGGGTTTTTAGGAGGGTTTGGGTTTGGGGTTTTGGGGTTTAGGGTTTAGGGTTTAGGGTTTAGGGCAAAATGGTTCATGGGTATAGACTGGGGGAAATTTCTAGCTACACTTCCATTTAGGGACCTTGGTAGTGGGGGCTCTGAAAGCTTTAAGACTCTCCTCTGCCCATGAACCTTCAACTAGGCTTGAGGGTTCAACGTTCGGCCAGCCCACTACAGGCCTTCGTGGTTCAGGAGTTTAAGGATTTGGGTTTAGGGTTTAGGGTTTAGGGCTTAGGGCTTAGGGCTTAGGGTTTAGGGTTCAGGGTTCAGGGTTTAGGGTTTAGGGCTTAGGGTTTAGGGGTAGTAAGCGTTCAGAACCCTTTGAGACCCTGAACCGCACTTAAGGCTTTGGGAGTTGGGGGAGGTGGTTTCCAGTCGCAGCTCAGACGCGCCACCTCTTGCCAGAGCAAGCGCTGCCTGAAACGCGAGTGACCTGTGAGCAGGGTATAGGCTGACACACCCATGCCCTACGTAGGGTTTGTAGGGCATGTCGAGTTTGTAGGGATTAGGGATTATCGGACCCTAAACCCTGCACCATACACCCTAAACCCGAAACCTTAAACTCTAAACCTGACACCACAAACCCCCAAGAAGGCCTGTGACGGCCTGCAGGTGGCGCTTCAGGGCCTTCACAGAGACAGGTCCTGCGCACGGGGATGCAAAGGTCCGGTGGTAGGGGTTAAGGTTTGGGGTTTAGGGTTTCGGGTCTAGGGTGTAGGGTTTAGGGTTTGGGTTTGGGGTTTGGGGTTTAGGGTGTAGGGTTTAGGGTTCAAGGATGTGCCGGTCTGAAGCCCCTAGGGCGTGGCGTTTGACCCTGAGTGCGTTTTAAGGTGCCTTGGGGAAAGCCTCATGAAGGTGACCCCCTAAACCCTAAACCCTAAACCCCCTAAGCCTCCTAAACCCCTTAGCCTTAACCCCCTTAACTCCCCCCGAACTCCCCTTCATCACCTGAAACGCCCCCTAAAGTCTAAACCCTAAACCCCCTAAACCTCCTAAACCCCCTAGCGTGAACCCCCGAAATCCCCCTAAACGCCCCGAAGGTCTTGTGACAGGAATATCGGAGGCCTCGTGCGGCTTCGAGACTGGAAATCTGGGTTCCAGAAAGGCCGACGACGCGCAGCATGGCCAAGCAACCCGGGTTTAAAGGGTTTAGGGCTTGGGGTTGAGGGTTTAGGACTCTTTAAAGCTCTTTAAGGTTTTGTAGGGCTCTTTAGGCTTCTTTGGATTTCCTTTGGGGTTCTTTAGCGCTCCTCTAGGGTTCTTTAGCATTCCTGAAGTTTCTTTAGGGTTCTTTAGGGTTCTCCATGGTTCGTTGTGGTTCTTCGGGGTTCGTTGGGGTTCTCCAGGGTTCTCTAGGGTTCTTTGGGGGGTCTGCGAGTCAGTTTAGGGTCCTATTGGGTCCAGGGCTTAGAAGGTGCCAGGGTCTCAGGCTGAGGGTTCAGCATCCCCAAAACTCTTCACTTGGCTGCACTTTAGGAGGGTAGCTATAAATGAAAAAAAATTTACCTTACTAGGAGACCCAATAAACCCAAAAGGCTAAGGATCTAAAGTTACAGTAGAGCCCCACAGAGTTCAGGGTATGGGGTGTAGGGTTTGAAACCTTAGTCCGGTTTATGGTCGCCCTCTGTATCTCGCCTCCTGGCGCCTTGAGCCACAGGTCTGAGCTTCTGTGAAACGCTGGAACCCGCCAGAAATTCCCCAACATGTCAATCCCAAACCTGGATCAGACACCCTTCAACCAAAAGCCCTTACCCGGACACCTACCGAAAACCCTTACCCCGGCGGTTTTGGGAGGATGCAAAAAGTGGAGCCCCCTGAAGGGCTCCTAAGACTCACTACTCGTAGTATAGGGTAGCATGGGGGAGGTTCTACTTTTTGATCCTTCCAGGGCTTAGGGTTTAGGGATAACCCTAAACCCTAAGTCCTAACCCTAAACCCTAAACCCGAAAACCTAAACCCTAGACCCTACACCCTAAACCCTATGCGAGCATGTTCGAAGGGCAGGTCTCCGCGTGGGCCAGGGGGGGGGGGGGGGGAAATGGGTTCCGGGTTTGTTTCAGGCAGGGTCGGTTTAAGGCAATAACATGGGATGTTCCCTCCTTATACTAGCAGCCCTTCATAGGGATTATAGTACCCCTGATTATCATCCCTATTAAGGACTGTTAGTATAGGGGGTGAAACATTCCAAGTGACAAAGCTTAGGATTCAGCATTCACAGTTTCACGCTTTTGAATTCCCATGATTTAGAACAGCCACCACCACAGATACACTCCCTGACTCTGAGGATCCTCGACAGCGGGTGGGGCTCTATGCTGGGATATATACTTCAGCAACCTAGAGCCGGAGCAAGAAGTCAAGCCCCTAAACATGAACACCTCTAACTCTGGGGCTACGACTTGGGCAGCTGCAGCTGCTACAGGCTAAACTTGAGCTGAGTCGTCGGCCCAGGCGCTTCGCGCCTTTCTCATCCGCCTCACAGCAAAAAGATGTAGGTGTTCGATGGGTCCCAGCCAATTTTGCTTCAGGGCATTCCCCTCCCCATACGCCAAAGATGCCCCCCCTAACTGATGCTAGGAGAAACTTTGTCCCACCCCCTGCTTCTTTCACACCCTCCTCATCCCTAGCCAACAAGTCCGGACATGATGGGGAATAGGTTCTAGCATTGCTGGCTTTCGTGTGGGGGTTTTGTGGGAGATGCAAGACCCAAGTCAGTCATGAACTTAATATCCCCTGACGGTGTCCGGAAAATCATTTTTATCATATTGGGGGAGGGATCAACGACAATAGGTTCATTGATCGTGGGGGAAAGGGGTTATTGATAAGGGTTCGCGATCATAGTACCCTAAACCCTAAGCCCTAAACCCTACACCCTAAACCCCATTAGGACTTATTATAATCGCCATTTGGGTTGATTTTCCTTTGGGCTCCTAGACTGAGAATGGACGGCTGCACTGCTTCAGACACAAGACATGGGGCCCTAAGCCCTAAACCCCTAAACCTGTGAAGCCCAGAGTCCTCCCAAACCCAAGGCGAGGCCTAAAAGGGGGTTGATTAGGTTTAGGGTTTGGGGTTTGGGGTTTGGGGTTTGGGGTTTGGGGTTTGGGGTTTGGGGTTTGGGGTTTGGGGTTTGGGGTTTGGGGTTTAGGGTTTAGGGTTTAGGGTTTAGGGTTGCGGATAGAAAGGGAGAATGGATGACCTGGGGCGCGCGGGGCCTCTTCTTTGTCCAGCTCGCTCCAGTTCGCCTGGCTCTGGCGCTCGGCGTCTTCCTCCTCTCCTGGGTTGACATTATGAGGGTTTAGGGTTTAGGGTTTAGGGTTTAGGGTTTAGGGTTTAGGGTTTAGGGTTTAGACCCAAATAGTAGGATTCCCTTATAAGAAGGACCTACCCCTAATTTCGGAAACCCATGTGAGGGTTTTGGGGTTTTTAGGTTTCGGCCCCTAGGGCCTAAGCCTCCCATGAGACAGGACAATGGCTCATGTACCCTTCAGCTGGGGTCAGAAGGCTCTCATTTCGCATTCCTTGGCGGTGCTTTTTAGAGTTTGGTGCGGGGAAGGAAGGATGGGGGGGGCCTGGCGTCCCATGAACCTTACCTCTCCCCCTTACCCCTCTAGGCCTCTAGAGGGGGTCAGATCTGAGTCTGCACCGCCTAGTTCTGTACTTGATCCCGACCCCTAAACTGCGCCCAAAAGGACAAACCGCTGCGCTCCCCCTAAAAAACTTGAAGGCCCGAAGCCTCGAACTGGGGGGGTGAGGGTCAAGAGTTTCGAGTTTGGGGTTTACATATCGTGTGCTGGCCCATTGAGGCGCGTGGCCGGCGTCTGCAACATCACGACAGCCAGTGTGATGGCCAACTGCTGACCCTATAAACTCTAAACCCTACGAACCCTAAACCCTAAGTGTCAAAAACGACAAGCACGCCATGGGCGAAAGGAACTTAGAGATGCCATGTGCGTGCCGCGCACATCCCACCAGCCTTGTGCATCCACCATGCAGTGCACGGGCGCAGTTGGCTGGCCGGCGGCTTGCGGGGACTGTGGAGCCCGAAGACCCTAAACCCTAAACCCTAAACCCTAAACCCTAAACCCTAAACCCTAAACCCTAAACCGGCTTCATGGCACTCGGGAATCCCAAGCCGGCCCTTGCAGCTTCCAAAACCGCGTACTGCACGGGCATTTGGGTGGCGCGAGGATCCTCGCAGCGTGTCGCCCCCTGAACTCCGAACCGCCGGGTGTGATTCTTCCTATGTTTGGGGCTTTCGGTTCTTAGTGAGGCTAACCCCGAAAAATAGGTTTAGGGTTTAGCGTTTAGGGTGTTTAGGGTACTCAGGGTTAAGTATTTAATCGGCTAAGGGGGGGGGGGGGGGTACCTTTATCAGAAATGTCTACTCCTAAAACCTGTATCCCTGAGTTCAAACCAGGCTCGCGAGGAGATGTCCCAGGTAAGATACCTTATATAAGGCTTCCACACTTGGCAAAAAACAAGCACTGCGGGCCCCTAAACCCTAAACCCTAAGCCTGAACGTCTCTTACCTTCTATATTACTAAGGTCATCGTGGGCAAGGCACAAGGCTTCACGGACAAGGTGCAAGGCTTCGTAGGCAGAAGGCAAGGCAGAAGGCAAGGCAGAAGGCAAGGCAGAAGGCAAGGCACAAGGAAGGCAGAAGGCAAGGCACAAGGCACAAGCCCTCCCAACCGTAAGGAGGTTCCAGGGTGGGGTGGGGTGATGAGGCTTAAGGTTTAGAACCCTAAGGTCTGGAGCCTCAGGTTTATGGATTGAATGAACCTTATAAAACTTTCCGAATAGTTAGGGGATGTAGAGATACGAACCGAAGTCGGGAGCTTAACCCAACTTAGCTGGCACACGGCGAAGGAAAGGAACAGAAAGGAAAGGAAAGGAACGGAGAGGAAGGAAAGGAAAGGACAGGAAAGGGGAAACTATCCACCTCCAAAAGCCTTAAATACCCTAAAGGTGCTAAAGCCCTTATACACCCTAACCCTAAACCCTAAACCCTCAACCCCAAACCCCAAACCCTAAGCCTTCAACCTCCAGTCGACACCCCTTTGGCTTTGGCCGTGCGTCGGATGGCAGCCTCAACCAGTTCCTCGACAGGTTTAGGGTTTAGGGTTTAGGGTGTAGGGTTTAGGGTTTAGGGCTTAGGGAGATCTATCTCATAATCCAAAGGCTGATGCTCGATGATAGGCAGCAAACTTGGGCTATCAAACAGTGTCATCTACATGTATTCGTGTGTGCATAACAAGACATTTCTTAACTTAATGTCTTGGGCTTTAGGGTGTTTAGGAATGCGGATTCAGCCTCATCCCTGAAACCGAAAACACAGAACCTCATCCCTAAATCCCCTGAGCCGTACGTCAAGTGAAAGCCCGCAAGCTTTAGAAGCCCTACACGTCCTATGGACCTGTAAGCCCTAAACCCTAAACCCTAAACCCTAAACCCTAAATCCTAAACCCTAAATCCTAAACCCTAAACCCTAAACCCTGAACCTTAAGCCCTAAACCCTAAACCCTGTACCCTAAACCGTTCCTAGAGTTTGGTCCAAGGTCTTAGAGTTTAGGGGTCCAGGGTCTTCTGGTCTTCGGGTCTTCGGGTTCAGGTCTTAGGGCCCTAAACCCTAACCCTAACACTAAACCCTAAACCCTAAACCCTAAACCCTAAACCCCCGGTCCTGCACCCAGAACTTCGGAGACTGGCCAGCGGCCTCCTGGAAAGGCTTGGGGCTTAGGATTCAGGGTTCGGACGCCCTGTGGTGGTTTAGGGTTTAGGGTTTAGGGTTTCGGGCTTGGGGTTTAGGGTTTCAGGCTTGGGGCTGGGGTCCCAGGTCTTCGGGGGGGTTTAGGCTCGTGGGGTTTGGAGGCTGAGCTTACAGGGTTTTTAGGTTTGGAGTTTGGAGATTAGGGCTTCAGGCTGCACAACGGACGGCTCAAGGTGGGGAATTGTTGTTCATAGATTCATAGAAGGGGGCCCTGTAGACAGCATGAAGAATGTGTAAAAGCTTCGTGTAAGACTTGTAGGACTGTCATAGCAAAACTCTACCCACCTAATTCACAATCCCAGATGCAAGGTATTGCCCTACCCACCCCAAACCCTAAGCCCTAAACCCCTGAAACCCTAAACCCCTGAAACCCTAAAGCCCTGAAACCCTAAGCCCGGTAGCCTACAACCCTAAACTCTAAATTGCCCTAAACCCTAAAGCCATGAACCGCTTCGTAACCCTAAGGCCTGAACCCCAAAAACCCTGAGCTCCAACCTGTTTTAGAACCCTAATGCCAAAGCAACCCACAACCTGCGGGGAGATGGAGCTGGGCCCAGGGATGTGTGGGGGTTTAGGGTGTATCAGGCAAAGTGCCGGGTCTCTCACTGCTGCCAGAGGGTTTCCTGAACCCCAGGCGGGTTTAATAGGGTTCAGGAGTGTCAGCATCCTTCACGAGCCGCACGATAGCGCCATGAGCCTGTAACCGCTTACCCCTTGTATTAGACACACCCCTAACTATAAAAGACACTTTCCGCAAAATCCGGCCGAAACCGACCCCGCCTTATAAACCCTATTCCGACCTAAAAAGGCGGGGGGGGGGGGGGGGGGGCGGGGTTCAGGGCCTCAAAAACCTTCAAGCCAATCTACGTATAGTAAACCCTATCCCTAACGATGGCATATAAATAAGAACTTCCCCCGAATATTAAAAGCGCATTTCGAGTTTCTATTGGGGGGCGCCAGATAAATAATTGGGGGGGGAAGGGATTAAGCCATTTTAAACGAACTGAACACCACACACCCTAAACATCAAGCTCAACGCCAAACCCTGTACACCCCAAATAAAATCCTAAACCCCTGTAAACCCCACACTACAAGCCCTAAGGAGCACAACGCTCTAGAACTCAAGGGGATCCCCCTAGTGGCACCCGACTCCTGACATGCAGCCAACATGGACTCATGGGCTTGGGCATGATTTTATTGTTTACAATGTGTTAGGGTTTAGGGTTTAGGGTTTAGGGTTTAGGGTTTAGGGTTTAGGGTTTAGGGTTTAGGGTTTAGGGTTTAGGGTTTAGGGTTTAGGGTTTAGGGTTTAGGGTTTAGGGTTTAGGGTTTAAGGTTTAGGTTTTAGGGTTGAAGACTTCGGGTAGGACAAGCAAAATGCCTATGTCCAGGGTTGTTGCGTGCGTGTTCGTGAATGTGATGGGCGTCCAGACTTTCGATCGTTTATGAACCCAAAACCTAAACCTACCCCCGCAGTCCCCGAAGCCCATAAGCCACACTGTCTGCCTCCTGGGCCGGATCGGGACGTTTTTGCCGAGCCTTGCTTCTCAGGGTTAGCCGAGAGGGGGGTTCAGGGTTGTGGGCTTACCTAAACCCTAAACCTTGAACCCTAAACCCTAAACCCTAAACCCTAGAACCCTAAACCCTAAACCCTGGTTTCGGGCTCCGATAAACACCAGGTGGGCTCTCGGGGATGGGAGGAGATACCAAATCAAGCTTGATTGAAGACTCTTTGCACCTTTTTTTTCTTCCACGGCGGGCATTGAAAAAAAAAACAGCGCAGCCCTAAAACCCTAAACCCTAGGCCCTAAATGAATCCTATAGACCCTAAACCAACAAAAAGCCGGGGGTTGATTGGTGTTTAGGGTTTAGGGTTTAGGGTTTAGGGTTGAGGGCTTAGGGCTTCGGGCTTAGGGCTTAGGGGTTGAGATTCCGGGGGGTGGGGGAGTCCAAGTTCCAAGTGAGCTTGAGAACTCCTCATCCCCCTCCCCCGAATCTTCATGGGCCCATCATGGGATTAGGGTTTAGGGTTTAGGGTTTAGGGTTTAGGGTTTAGGGTTTAGGTTTTAAGAGATTCATGGTTCCTATATTAGATCTGTACTTGAAACCCCCTTGTAAGCCCCTCAAGTGCCCTAAGATGGTTATAAGTACAGTTGAAGTACAGTTGTAATTGGTCAATAAATACCCTGAACCTCCACGTACAAACTAATATTAGCTACCCCCCCCCCCCATCCATTATGGAGTTATTATAGTATATGGGGTGGGCAATTCCGCATTAGGGGTAGGGGGAGGGGGGGTTAATGGGGTTAATATTGGGGGAAGGGGATTAGATTAAGGCCCGAAGCCGCGAGATTTTCTCAGGCCTCAAACCCTAAACCCTAAACCCTAAACCCTAAACCCTAAAACCCTTTTTCACGGTGTGCAAAGGTCTTTTGGAGTTTCGGGGTTTGTGGAGGTTCGGGCCGGTTTAGGGGATTCGGGGTTGGGGCTTCGGTGTTTGGGGGGGTCTTTGCGGCTTCAGATGTGAGTGAGGGTTTAGGGTTTAGGGTTTAGGGTTAGGGTTTGGTGTTTAGGGTTTAGGGTTTAGGGTTTAGGGTTTAGGGTTTAGGGTTTAGGGTTTAGGGTTTAGGGCTTAGGGTTTGGGATTTAGGATTTGAGGTTGTTGAGGGGTGTGCGAGTGTGGAGTACTGCTACAGGCCCGCGCAAGGGGTTCACAAGGCAGCCGGGGAGCTAGTGGCCGACACTCCTCAAAGAACTCGAGGATTTCTGCTGGCGGCCCTCAGCTGAAGATGGGGGGGATGGGGGAAGGGAGAGAGATGAGCGGAGGGTTTAGGGAAGTGGGCTTTGGGTCTTGGGGGCTTAGGGTACGCGAATGTAACCATGATTAAGAAAAAGCAAAGCTGAACGGTACCCACGAACAAAGAAAACAACCTCAACGATCAGAAGGTGAATGTTGATAAGGGAACCTAAACCCTGAACAAAAGGAACAAAGGCTTACTCTGGGTCCAAGCAAACCCAAGGGTCTCGGCCCCATTAGCAATGAGCACCAACAACTCATTCCTACACCCTAAGGCCACTGGGTTAAGGGTCCACCCTAAACCCTAAACCTGTTTTGGGTTCTGATCCAGGGTTTAGGTTTGCTTGGGCTCTACACTGCCAGCACAGAAGAAGCGCAGCTAACCAAAAACCTTACTCAGCCCTAAACCCTGAAGCTTACTCGGCCCTAAACCCTAAAGCTTACTAAACCCCAGCCCAAACCTCACTAAGCCCCAAACCCTCAAGCTTACGAAGCCCTAAACCCTCAACCTTACTAACCCCCAAACCCCCCCAAAAAAACCCAAACCCCAAAGACACAACCTCCCGAGTCAAGGCACAACTCTGTTGACCAAAGAGGTGAAAACTTGGTAGCCCAGTAGCCATACAGTAAGGATATCCTTTTTGGGGTTGGATACTTTATAACTACGTAAGCCCTAAGCCCTAAGCCCTAAGCCCCTAAACCTTAAACCCTAAACCCTATACCCCAACAGCCTCGAACCACCCAAAAAGGGGAAGAAACGGGTACCCCTAAACCCTAAACCCTAAACCCGAAACCCGAAACCCTAAACCCTAAACCCTAAACCACATTTGTGGGCTGCCAAGCCAAAGTTCATCCAGGCTGCGGGCCTGCGGTGTGGCGAGCACGAGTCGGCGACGAACGTCCGCGCCTATGCGGAGCTTAGGGTTTAGGGTTTAGGGTTTAGGGTTTAGGGTTTAGGGTTTAGGGTTTAGGGTTTAGGGTTTAGGGTTTAGGGTTTAGGGTTTAGGGTTTAGGGTTTAGGGTTTAGGGTTTAGGGTTTAGTTAAAAGGGTTTAGGGTTTATAGGGTTTAGACCCTCACGTCCAAGCACTAAACTCTGCGCTTACCGCAGACATAGACCTAAGCCTACACCCTATGCCTACGCAAGGGGCGGCGCGGGCGCGGTGTTGTGAGCATTGCCTTTGGCAACAAACTGTATACATATACACTGTAAATACATAGATACTACATGAATACACCAACACATACTAGACATTAGAGAGAGAACATGAGAGAGCAAGACACTGCAAAAGAGAGAGGCAGAGAGGGAGAGAGAGTGAGCAAAAGTGAGCAAGAGACAGAGGACGGAGGCAGAGACAAGACAGAGAGAGAAAGAGACATAGACACTGAGAGAGCGCGCGAGACAGAGAGCGAGAGAGAGGGAGAGAGAGAGACACAGAGAGAGGGAAAGGAAGCGGACGTGCGTGCGCGTCTGTTTGTCTGCAAAAGGTAGGGAAGGCCTGTCCAGCGCTCCATGAAGAGGATGTGGAGGGCGTCCTTCCCTTCATTACCTTCGGGAGTGAGGGGTTCAGGCTGTAGCGGCTCTCCTGAACTCTATAAACCCTAAACCCTAAACCCTAAACCCTAAACCCTAAACCCGCTCCAGTAGCATTCTTGGCTGATGACTCTGTGATGCGAGGGCGTCTATCTTGTTGCACCCCAGACCCCAAGAGGGTTTAGGGTTTAGGGTTTACGGTCCCTGAACCCAAAAACGGAAACCGTGAACCCCAGACACGACAAGGCGTAGCAAGGGCTTGTATGATACTTATATGGTGCTTGCTTTAATTTAGTCGTCCAGTACCCCTGCAAAACTAAAGTGCTAAACCCTATAAGTTAAACGCAACAACTGTTGAGGACATTCGGATGCCTCAGGCCAAGATAGGCTTGGTGAGCACGTGAGAGGAAATGAGCTACTTGAGTGAATCTCCATCCCTGAGGCGGGGTACCTAAACCCTGAACCTTATAAGCCCTAAACCCTAAAACCTAAAACCTACACCCTACACCTAAACCCTATAAGCCCTAAACCCTAAGTAAGCCCTACAGCCCTCATATTTACTGGAGAACAGACCATGTGGGGGTTTCCAAAATTAAGGGTAACTTTTTTGGGGTCCTTTGGAAAAAATCCTACTATTGGGGGGAGGGGGGGGGGGAGGGGTCTCCCTAAACCCTAAACCCTAAACCCTAAACCCTCAACCCTCAACCCTAAACCCTGAACCCTGAACCCTCATAATGTCAAGGGCCTCCTTATCCTCGTAAAACCCCCCATGTGCCTCTCCACAATACCTCGTGCCAGCCAAGTCCGGGTTCGGTCGTCAATCCCCTCTGGGCAGGGATGACGAATGTTTGAGGGGGTTTAGGGTTTAGGGTTTTAGGATTTTTGGGTTTTAGGGTTTAGGGTTTAGGGTTTAGGGTTTAGGGTTTAGGGTGTTGAGGGTTTAGGGTATTTAGGCTTTAGGGCTTAGGGACAGGGATCACGTCTGTTTGAGGGACTGGGGTCCGAGGGCCTGAGGGTTTAGGGTTTAGGGGAGGAGTTCAGTGGAAACCCTAAACCCTAAACCGTAAACCCTAAAACCCTAAACCCTAAACCCTAAACCCGGGTTTGGGGATTTCAGGGGGGGGAGAGGGGTTCGCTCTTCTGAACTTCTGGCTCTTTCAGGATTTCGGGTGCAAGTTGCCAGCTTGCCTTCTCAGAACCAGGTTTCAATTCTTCCGCCTCATCTACCCTCACCCTTATCTACCCTCATATCCTGAGACCCAAAACCCTACATACCCTAAAGCCCTGACGCCAAAAGCCTAACCTCGTAAATATACCCTAAAGCCCTAAATGCCCCAAAACCTGAGTTCCACGCCCCCCCTGAAAGCCAGAGGTTGCACACAGTGACCGGGTTCAGGGCTCAGGACTCAGGGCTTAGGGTTTAGGGTTTAGTGCTTAGGGTTTTGGATTCTTATATGGTGCTAAGTTCAGGGCATTGTTTCTCTACTAAGTTTTGGGGTTTTAGGCGGTTCGGAGGGTTTATAGGGCTACACGTCTGAGGCTCCGGGCTCCCCGTCACGAGCCTGCGCAGAAGTTTCGGGTTTGCAGTTTGAGGCTTCGGCCCCCCAAGCCCTAAAGCGCCCGAAGCCCTCAACCCTGAACCCTGAAACCCCAAACCCCAAACCCCAAACCCCAAACCCCAAACCCCAAACCCCAAACCCCAAAGCCTAAAGCCTAAAGCCTAAAGCCTAAAGCCTAAAGCCTAAAGCCCAAAGCCCAAAGCCTAAAGCCTAAAGCCTAAAGCCTAAAGGCTAAACCCTAAAGCCTAAAGCCTAAAGCCTAAAGCCTAAAGCCTAAAGCCTAAGGCCTAAAGCCTAAAGCCTAAAGCCTAAAGCCTAAAGCCTAAAGCCTAAAGCCTAAAGCCTAAAGCCTAAAGCCTAAAGCCCAAAGCCCAAAGCCTAAAGCCTAAAGCCTAAAGCCTAAAGCCTAAAGCTTAGCTGGGAGCCTTGGGTTACATACCCCCCCCTTGAGTCCAAACCCTAAACCCTAAACCCTAAACCCTAAACCCTAAACCCTAAACCCTAAACCCTAGACCCTAAACCCTAAACCCTAAACCCTAAATGGGTTACATACCCCCCCTGAAGAACCCGATAACCCTTGCAAGACCAGAAGTGTGGCCTTCCTGACCCTGACGCTCTCCCGGTCCACCTCAGGGACTTTGAGGGCGGTTTAGGGTTTAGGGTTTAGGGTTTAGGGTTTAGGGTTTTGGGTTTAGGGTTTTGGGTTTTGGGTTTTAGGGTTTAGGTTTAGGGTTCTGGAACACCCGACGGGTTCTTAGCAGGGAATGTACCCTACACCCCTACGTACAGACCAACGAGTCCACAACCCCACGCCCTAACCCTCAAAAACCTGCCCAAAACCTGCTTAACCCTATGAACCCTAAACCCTAAACCCTGAACCCTAAACCCTAAACCCTAAATTCGCACGGGCTTATGGGGTCTGTGGGCCGGTACCACAGGTGCAGGGTTCCATGGCTTTTAACGAAATGGGGCCTTTCCGGGTTCCCTAGAGTGTAGGGTTTAGGGTTACTGTAGTAGACTAGATTTTTGTTTCGGGGTCTCAAAAGGCCTGCGTTTTGGATCAACCCCCCCCATTCATCTCAGTGGCATGCTTACTTTGGGATGCTTGACCCCGGTGTTGAACTGAAGGCCTATATGGGGGTTTCCTAATATAGGGGTACCCTTTTGGGGGTCCTTTTAAGAGGATTATCTTCTATTTGGGGTATGAAAGGGGTACACCTATTTGGGGAATTACCCACATGTACCTGTTGAGTCTATCTTACCTCCTGCCCCGATATACACCCTGAACCCTAAACCCCAAAGGTTCGGGGTACAGGGTTTCACGGTTTAGGGCTTGTAGGCCAGGGTCTAGGCTTCATTGTTGGGATCTTCCCCCATATACATAACAGTCCTTACTAGGGATTATAATAGGGGGCTGCTACAGTCCCTTTTAAGGACTGTCAGTATAAGGGGGAACATTCCACACCAATTAGACGCAAACAATGCTGGAGTGCCTCAGTCTAGGCTTCATAGTGCCAAAGCTCCTGAGAACTTGCGATTTCCTCGAGGGCGTCGGGCTTCAGTTTCCAGGCAGCCCGGCAACCATGATAAACCAAACTACAGGCCCCGAACAGGGACACCCTAAACCCTTTGTCCCCCCCCTAAACCCTGAACCGTACACCCTAAACCCTAACACCCTAACACCCTAACACCCTAAACCCTAAATTCTACACCCTAAGCCAAAAAATCAAGCCCCAATAAGCCCCCAAAATTCAGGATTCAAGCAGAAGGCACCCAAAGCCTGGTAGCAAAGGGCCAGGCAGCATGCTCCGCCACGAACTGGAGCACCTTCACAAGCCCAAAACTGGGAAGATCTAGGGTCTAGGGTTTTTAGGGTTTAGGGCTTTAGGGTTTTAGGGTTTTAGGGTTTTAGGGTTTTAGGGTTTTAGGGTTTAGGGTTTACTGTTTAATGGAAGACCTAAGCCATGTCTGTCTGGCATAGGTGTCTCCGGGCCCCACGTCCGACTGTGATCTACATTGTAAGCCCGAAACGATAAGGAACATGCAATAAGGTCCAAAAACAAGTTGCATTTTAACCCTGATCCTAAGCTCTGCAAGCATCCCCCCCCAAAAAAAGACAATATATATATATATATATATATATAATAATAATAAAAATAATAATAATAATAATAATAACAATAATAACAATAATAATAATAATCATAATCATAATCAGCAGCCCAAATCCTGCTCGGAAAATGCCATCCTACGCTCTTAAGTCAGACATGGTCAAGGGTGCTGGCAGGAAGGATGGGCAAGAACAAACCACATGGCTTTCGCCTTGAAGGGGTTTCGGGGTTTCGGGTTGAGGGCCTTGGGATTTTAGGACCTTTTGCCTCTCAAGCTTTCAAGCTTGAGCTTGGCATGTTCCCCCTCATATGCTAACGGTCCTTGATAGGGACTGCAATAGGGGGTACTATAATCCCTATCAAGGGCTCTTAGCATAGGGGGGCAGGGGTGTAGGTTTAGGGTTAGGGTTTGGGGGGAGGTTAGGGCTTGGGGGGTTTGGTTTAGGCTTGGGTCGAGGGTTCAAGGTGCAAACCCTAAATCTTGAACTCAGGTGTCTGGATCTGGTTCTCTAAACATGTTCAGTACGAATGGCTCTTGCACGTGCTGACAGAGTCAGTTCTCCAATTCTCGGCCCCTTGTGTGTGTAGGGTTCAGGGTAGACCACAAAGCGGACCCCAATGGAGAGAGTCTTTCGGCAGTTCTGCGGGCAAGAATGCCCTCCAACCAGATCATGCACAAAATGGAACCCGAAACCCTAGGCCCAAAACCTTCAACCCTAAACCCTAAGTCCTAAATCTAAGCCCTAAACCTGAAACCCTAAACCCTATAAGCTCCGAACCCAATGACTCGTGCAGGCTGGGCACGCCGTCGTAGAGCTCTTCGTCATCCACATCGTCAAGCGCGAAGGTTTGAGCGAAAACAAGGCCGCCTGGGCAGATACTTGGAGGTTCAGAGTTTAGGGTTGTTCATGGTACTTATTAGCCAACTATAACCGTACATATAACTGTACTTATAACAACATTAGGGCACTTAAGGGGCTTGTACATACGTATATGTATAAATAATATATGTATATACATATATATATATAGAGAGAGAGATGCATAAAAGTATACACATATTCGATAATATAATATAATATAACACAATATAATATAATACAATATAATATAATGTATAGGGCATTCTGCGTATCAGAAGAAGTTCCCAACAGCTCGAGGCCCTCAACACCTTTCGCCAAAATGCCCGCCCCCCCCCCCCCCCCCCCCATTCCGGCACCTCGTGCTCTCGAAAGCAAAACATTTTCTTGGAGACTACATGAACCCCAGGATTGGAGTGTAGGGTTTAGGGTTTAGGGGTACTGCTACCCCTCTTAAGGACTGTTAGTATAAAGAGGAACATCCCCGAATGCATGGGACATAAACCCTTCCCAAGGTCTGGGGGAGTTCGCGCAACTCTGGGTCCACCACTTCTTACCCCCCATAATACCACGGAACCCCCCCTCCCCCCCCCCCCCCCTCCCTTCAAACCTAAAGCGAAATCTCTCCCAAACCCTAGACGCTAAACCCTAAACCCTGAAACCCCAAACCTAGACCCCTAACCCCCCCCCCCCCCCCCAACCCAAACCCTAAACCCTGACACCCCAACCCCCAAAAACCCAAAAAACCCCAAACCCCCAAACGCCAAACCCTAAAGCCCAAAACCCCAAAACCCCAAAACCCCAGACCCTAAACTTCAAAACCTCAAAAACCCAAACCCTAGAACCCCCAAACCCCAAAGCCTAAACCCCAAACCCTGAACCCCCAAACCCAAACCTTAAACCCCCAAAACCAAACCTTAAACCCCCGAACCCAAAACCCTAAACCCCCAAACCCCCCTCGTAACCCTAAACCCTAAATCCTAAAACCTAAACCCCAAACCCTAAAGTGCAGGTCTGAGGGTCGGGGCGGCGGAGCTCCGACCGGCAACGGAGAACACTCCCAAGTCCCTGTCTCCTGTTTCTTTGGCTTGGGGTTTAGGGTTTTAGGGTTTTAGGGTTTTAGGGTTTTAGGGTTTTAGGGTTTTAGGGTTTTAGGGTTTTAGGGTTTTAGGGTTTTAGGGTTTTAGGGGTTTAGGGTTTAGGGTTTTAGGGTTTTAGGGTTTTAGGGTTTTAGGGTTTTAGGGTTTTAGGGTTTTAGGGTTTTAGGGTTTTTAGGGTTTGAGGGTTTGAGGGTTTTAGTGTTTTAGTGTTTTAGGGTTTTAGGGTTTTAGGGTTTTAGGGTTTTAGGGTTTTAGGGTTTAGGGTTTAGGGTTTAGGGTTTAGGGTTTAGGGTTTAGGGTTTGGGGTTTGGGGTTTGGGGTTTGGGGTTGAGGGTTTGGGGTTCAGGGTTTGGGGTCCCTGCCTCCTGTTTTTTGGGGAGTACTTGGAGGCTCATGAACCTCGACTATAAGTCTACTTGTAACCTACTTAGAGGACTTCGCTAGGGGTCTTAGAAGTACACTTGTAAATGGGGGTATGAGTACCCCAAAAACCTCCAAATATTAGCTAGGTTCTGGTGAAGGGTTAGGGTTTGGGGTTTAGGGTCTATAGGGTTTTGGGCTTGGGGTTTAAAGGGTCGAAACTGTCCTAGGCCTTAGAAGCACATTTCCAAAACTCCATCTTTGAAAAGTGCGACATTCTGCATTGCAAATAAACGCTCAACATGGCGTGGAAGCCGGCATCATCCAGCAGGCATATCGGCAATGGGACTCCGTCGCAACGTTCCAAGGGGGCCCCTTAGTCTGGGCCCTCAAAAGGGGACCCCTTTTTACTATAAAGAAGGCATGAATCGCATGAAACTAATCTTGGAAACATGCACTCTTCGGGGTTTCCAACCCTATGCATCGTTCGGGTTGAAATAGGGAGAACAACCCCGAGACAGATAGCCCGAAGCTTTGGGGACTAAATCTTGAGGGGGCAGTGCTACTACCTCTATTATAAGGCATATGGACCCTAAACCCCTTTCAAAGGGTATGTCGTCCGAAAGGAACCCTACCCCCAAACATGCCGAAGGAGCCCCCGGTCTGAAAATCTACATCGGGACGCCTGCCCCGCTGCATGCAGCGCAGCGCCGCGCCGCGGAAGGAGCCGGGATGCTGCGAGGAAGGAGGCGAAGCCAACTGAGGAAAGCAGGGAGTTGAAGGTCCTTTCCGCGACCCTGAGCCCCTACCCAGGGGTACTGTCATCCCGATTAAGTAAGGACTGTTAGTTCAAAGGGGAACATCCCAGCCCCAACCCCTAAACCTAAGTTCAATCACCACGGCATACTTCACCACGGAAAAGTATGTAAGCGGGATCCCAGGTAAGGTTCGTTAAGCTCACTGCTTACATGCCCCGACACCCGAAGGCTTACAGAGTTGAGGGCAGTTGCCAGTGCTATCAGAGTTGCCTTTGCCGCCATGCAAGCGTAAGCCTCGCGGGCCGCGCACGGAGGAGTGGTTCCATGCGTGCCTGCTGCTACGTGTTGCGATCGTTGAGGAGCTGTGTACGGTTCAAGCTCTCTAAATCCCACGAAGGTAGAACGCCCAAACCCGGGTGCTAAACCCCTAGGCTCCTAGGCCCAAAACCCGAAAACCCCTCTAGACAAAAAAACCTGAACCCCTTGGCATATTGGTGTGTAGGGCTTTTGTTGGTTTGTTTGGCCTTGAATAGGACTTGTTAGGTCTAAGCTTAGGTTTTACCAAGGTTTCAGGTTTAGGGTTCGGGGGCTTCGGGTTCGGAGTGAGCGTGCCGGGTGGACATTGGCAATTTTGGAGCTCAGGGTTCAGGGTTGAAGGGTTCAGGGTTGAAGCGCTGTGGTTGCCTCTGACGCGCGGATGGCTGCACCACGTGAGCTGCCGGCGGAAGCAGCCCAGTCAGCTGAGGCCGGACAGCGGCAGCCATAGGGGGATGAATTTATCTGAGAGCCTGTGCGCTTCATGAGGAACTGGCCCACCTCAAGATGGTGATGCACTAGGGCTATATATAGGTCTTACGGAGTTTTGGGGTCGAAACGAAGATGGTGCACATGTCACGATGATGAGGCACCTGCATCAGCGTTGATCCGCAGATCTGAGGAGCCAACGGGACACTCAATCGCATGCGCTGCCCCGACCTCATGTAGGCCCTCTGACGGAAAGGGCTTGTGTTTGTGTAGGTGAGGTGTCGTGTAGGGTTGTTTATAGCATCTTAGATGCTATGAAGTTGAAACCTCCAAAACCAAACCCCCCAAAACCCTGAACCCTGCAATCTCAATCCCAACACCCTAAACTCCAAAAACGACCCCAAACCCCAAATATCCCAAAACCCCAAGTCACCCTGAAAAACGAAGTCGAAGTAACCCTAAACCTCAAACCCCAAAAACCCGAAAATTCACCCTCCACTCTCCAGAGTAAAAAAAACTCTTGTTTGTTTTTTTCCCCCGAAGCCATCGGGAAACGCCTCCAGGCTTCAGGATCCTGGTGAAAGAGCCGGTCGCGGAGGGCCAACGGCTTCCAAGGGTTGTTTAGGGTTTAGGGTTAGGGTTTAGGGTTTAGGGTTTAGGGTTTAGGGTTTAGGGTTTAGGGTTTAGGGTTTAGGGTTTAGGGTTTAGGGTTTAGGGTTTAGGGTTTAGGGTTTAGGGTTTAGGATTTAGGGCGACCCAAGGGGTAACATGGGAATGCACAGCGTACCGTTTTTCGCTTAAACCCCCCTAAGAAGGGAACGAGGGCCTACTCTGGGTCCTAGGTTTACGGTTTTAGGTTTTTGGGCCTTTGGGTTTAGGGTTTTTGGCCTCTGTTTTGACGGGGCTACAGGGTTTTCGTGCTTTGCATTCTTAGGGTTTGGGGGGTTTCAGGGTAACTCAAAACCCAAAAAAAAACCCTAAAACTCTAACATCATAGAATCCTAAAACCCTGAGCCCCTAGAATTCTTGGAGTTTTCGGAGGGGGTTCAAGCGTTGGCCTTGGCTCCATGGCCTTGCTCGCTACACATCAACACCTGAGCCCCATGACCCAACTTGGAAAACTTCCGGGGAAACACGAGCCAACTCCTCCCTTTGGCGCATTCAAATCTCTAAACGCTAAACCCTAGACACCCTCAACCCTAAACCACAACAACATTAACCCCTAAACCTCTCAACCCTCAACCCGATGAAGCCTAAAAACCCTCCATCCTCAACCAAATGGAGTGCCCTACAACCCGCAACCCTCAACCTGGGATGTTCTCCTTTATACTAACAGTCCTAAATAGGGATTATACCCTAAACCCTAAATCCTAAACCCTCAACCCTACAACCCTAAACCAGACCCAAACCTCCGCTCCCCGCAACTCGGCATCTGGATCCCCCCTCTCAACCCCCCCCCCCCCCTCCCCCCCGAGATGGGACCTCATCAAAACTAGGGGTTTAGGGTTTCGGTTTAGGGTTTTGGGCCGTGTCTAACCCACACATGGGGATAACCTGACCCCTAAGGTCGAAAAAAAAAAAACAACAAAAGGACGCCGAGTGTTTGGAACCCCCATATAATACTCACCGCTTTTGGAACCTCCCATATCCCGACAGGTAAGTTGCGTCAGGAGCTCAGAAGGACACACTGGCATACATGTTACAGAACGACTGCTGAAAGCAGGATCAGGAGGGTCTAGGGTCTAGGGTTTCGGGTTTGGGGGTAGAGAATCGAGTTTAAGTTTGAGGGGGTTAGGGCGTGTTAGGATGCAGAGTTCGGGTTTAGAGTTTCGAGGTTGGGTTGGGAGGCTCTCCCTTTTTCTAACACTGTTAGTCAATTCAGGACTGTTCGTATATGCGGGAACATCCCAGGGTTAGGGTCTGTAGGGTTCTGGGTTTGAGGTTTCGTGTCGCTGACTTGCCACCTACAGTCACGTTGACCACCACAGCTCCAACAAAGCCCTACCCTTTTAGGGTTTAGGGTTCAGGGTTTATATAGGGTACTTGGAGGTTCATGGGTACTTGTAACCCCAAATAGAAGTCTACCTACCACCTAGTTTGGTGACTTAGGAGCTTGTAGGTACAGCTATAACTTATAACTGGGGTTATATAAGTACCCATGAACCTCCAACTAGAGTTTGAGGTGGTTGCAGGGTTTCTGGTTCACTTGGTCGCAAAGCCCAGGGGAAGTTACTCTTGCTTCAGTGGGTTTTGGAGGAAACCTACACCCTAAACCCTGAACTAAACCCAAGAAACCCCTAAACCCTAAATTGCTCTCCGGGTCCGAGTTTCATCTAGCATGACCCCTGCGAACAGCAAACGCCCTCTGACCGAAACGGGTCGGTCGCGTGCGTGACAGAACAGCCGTGCTCTTCAGAAGTTATGGAGCCTAATATAGGGGTCTCTGTCATTTAAGCTAGGCTGGTGTTACAAACGCAGAAAGGGCACAGCGCATGTCGCGTGGCAGAGCTTGTGCTGCCCAATGCAATGCGGCATCATTAGGGGGGGTGGCCGACCGACCGATCTCTCTCTCTCTCTCTCTAGGGTATAGGGGTTTAGGGTAGGGTTTACCCTAAACCCTAAACCCTAAACCCTGGTAGGGTTCATCGGACTTGTAGGGTCCATAGGGTGTAGGGTTCAAGGGGTTTACTTCTGCGATTTCTGCCCTTGGGGTTGTCTGTTCCTTCTCGGCCGGCGACGGCAGCATCGTTGGCTACGGGCCCCATGCCGAATTGACTTCCAAACCTCCTGTACATCACTTGTTTCCAGGATGGCTGGAGGATTCCGAAGGTGTGTAGGGTTGAGAGTTTAGAGTTTAGGATTTTAGGTTTTTGTGTCGGATAAGTTGAAAGGCCGAGCATGCAAAAAAGGGATTACAAATCATTCAGGGCAACCCCTAACTGTAAAACCCTGAGGACGAACAGCAACCTCCTTCCCCACCAAAAAACAGGAAGTGCTATCCCCAACTTTGCACGAACCAGAATCCCAAAATCCTGATCTTCTCCTGGTACTAGCAGAAAACACAAGTGATGCAATACGTTGTGTAACGGGGGGAGGAAGGGGATTAAACCCTCGAAGCCCTCAAACCCTGAACCCTGCAGGCTAAGTTCCTCTACTACCAGTAGACATAGAACCATGAGAAATAACATTTTCAATTTGCGCTGGAGATGCCCTTGGGGGGGGTGTATAATCTCGACCCTCTACACTCTAGACACCCTAAGCCTTAAAGCCCTAAACCCCTAGTCCCCTAAACCCTCTAAACCCCTAAACCCCTAAACCCTGGACCCCCTCAACCCTATAGCCCCGAAAATTTAAACTAGACCCAAGAGTAACCTAGGCATGAAAAGGGTGCCCTTTGTGTTTTAAAGGGGGTTCTAAGGGACCCTAAACCCTCAGAAAAAGGAATACAAAGCCCTAGAGCCAACGAGATTCTACTAAGTGCTTAAGAACACCGATGCTACTAAGCATATTCCTTATAAAGGGTAATATAGGGAGAATCGAAAAATATTCCTTATTAAGGGCAATATAGGGAGCATTCTTTTTCATTCTTTTGGGGTTCGTACCCAAACAGCCCAAAGAGCCCAATACCCCTTAAATAAGGAATATACCTTGAATCAGATTAAGGATCGCTATCGAACTTAGAGTATATTCCTTAATTAAGGGGTAGCGGGCTCTCTAACCCTAAACCCTAAACCGTAAACCCTAAACCCTGAACCCTAAACCCTAAACCCTCAACCTTAAACCCTAAACAAGCCGTAAACAGACCCTAAACCTTAAACCCTGAATACCCTGACCCTAAACCCCCTAAAGCCCCTAAACCCTGAGTCCTAAACTCTTGAAGCCTGCGACGGCTTGAAAGCTCGGGCCCCTTTCACCTCTGAGCCTCCGTCTGAGGCTCAGCAGTCGCCCTGGGACGACGAGGATAGCCTGAAGATGAGGGCTTCGGGGGGTTTAGGGTTTTCGGGCTTAGGGTCTAGGGAGTCCAGGGTTTGGGTTTAGGGTTGGGATGTGGGGTTACAGGGGGTTACAGGGCAGTAGGGTTGAGGTCAGGGCTTTGGGGTGTGGGCTCAAAGGGCTGAGGTGAAGCTGGGGTTCGGGAATACAGGGATTAGGTGTAAGGTCTGCTGTAGCTGCTCCCTGGAACAGAAACGGAGTCTTCACAACTAGGGGCATGCAGTGAAAGAGACGGTTTCCTTACTACGCTGGTTTCCTGGTGTGTGGCTTTGGCATGGATGGTTGGTGCACCCTCCAGGGATAGTCTTGCCTTCGCTTTTGCGGATCTTGGCTCTGCTTCCACACCACACCAAGGTGCGCAAGCACTGCCTAGTTAGAATTACGGTCGGCTGCTGCTGGTTGTTGACCTAGGTGCCTGCGGGAGCCGGCAAGCGCACGCCAGCAAGCAGCCCTTCTTCTGCAAGCGAACATCATCGTAGGAAACGTCCCCTTGCCCTTGTACTGCTTTGCTTGCCAGGATGGGCTATTCGGCCTTATAATCCCCAAAATCAACCCTACAAAGGGGCTTTTTAAGAGATTATAAGGTATAACCTGGTGAGTCCACATGCCAACCATACACCCTAAACCCGAAACCCAAAACCCAAAACCCAAACCCCAAAAATGTTTAGGGCACAGGGTCCAAAGTCTCGAGTTTGAGGTGCTTAGCGGGCGGAGGGACTGAAAATTGAGGGTCTCTAGGGTTTGAGATAAGGGGTTTAGGGTGGTTCAGAATGTTCAGGGGTTTAGGGTTTTGGGCGCTAAACCCGAAAACCTGAACCCTAAACGAACACCCCGAAGCCTTACAAACACACAGGGTGGGTTTAGGGCTTCAGATTCGGCTTAGATTCTTAAGTTTTAAGGTTTAGGGTTTAGGGTTTACACCCTGCTTGAGCCAAGAGAAAAGCCCAAGAGCGCCTTGTCTGCAAGGACCCTAAACCCTAAACTCGAGTCTAGGAGGCTGCTCTTGCGAACGAGGGAATTCGGTATC